GGGAGGCCGGAGGAATGTCAAGGGGGGCGGGGAAGGAGACATATGTAATACTCTTCGTAATACTTTAAGCAATAAAATAAAATACAAATAAATAAAACAAGTGGAAAGCAGGAAAAAAAAGGCGCTGGACAGATCCTCGAACACGGAGCCTTCAGCCTATCTGCCGAAGGAGGCTGATGTATGTCCTGCGATACCCACACTCGCAGGGCCGTGCCGAGGATCATGGGATAATGTTTGTGAAAGCTATCTGTACACTGAAGGTCTGTATGCATTTATTCACTGCACAAATATGTATCAAGCATCTACGTGCCCAGCCCTGTTCCAGGCATTGGGATGTGACAGAGAACAATGTGGACACGGTTAATTAGTGACCACAAGGCTAAGATTACTTGTCATCTCTAAGTTGTTATTACCACGCCTCTCCTGAGGTAGATGAAGGGAGGCTGCTGGTGCCTGGAGGCTGCAGGAAAGGCTCTTTTTGATGCCAGGATGTACCACCAGGTGGCACTGTGGAGCGCCGCCCGGTGAGCTCCTCTTCACCCCCGTCTGGCCAATGGAGGGAGGGCACCTAACCTCCCGTAGTAGGTCACCCCCTTACGCAGGTCACTGGCTGACTATGCCATTGCCCTTTCTGTCCCCAGGGCCTCATGTGCCCAGACCACAAGGAAGAGGTGACCCACTACTGCAAGACATGCCAACGTCTGGTATGCCAGCTCTGCCGAGTGAGGCGCACCCACAGCGGACACAAGATCACACCGGTGCTCAGCGCCTACCAGGCCCTCAAGGTGAGCTAACCCCCACTCCGGGCTGCCTCCCAGCCTCGCATCCTCTCACACCCCCTCTTACTGCTAGCTTCTGCCCAGCCGGTATGATCCCCGCCTCTTCCTTCCCTCTTAGGACAAACTGACAAAGAGCCTGACATACATCCTAGGAAACCAGGACACAGTACAGACCCAGATCTGTGAGCTGGAGGAGACCTTGAGGCACACTGAGGTGAGGGAGAGCATAGAGGTGGCCCTTGGCCCTACCTGGGCCTGGACACAGCCAGAGGGTGTGGAGAGGTGTGGCCCCATCACCTGGCTGCAAGCTCAGGAAGTGGGGGTCCATGAATGTCCAGGTTCTGACTAAACCAGGCTTGCAGGAACATCAGTGCCCCAGGGCAGGCTATACCTGGAGCTACAGTGGGGACAGGACAGGGGGAGCCGAAAAGTCCCAGGAAAGTAGTTCAGATGCCCTCAGGCTCGGAAACCCGCTGAGGATGCACATATCCTGGAGCTAGGGCAAGGCGATGGCGCTGATCCCAGATTGCATACATCAGCGGGCGCGGGCATGGGCAGTGAGGGTGGCACAGACGCCACTGATGTTGGTACAGTCCCAGTGGTGATCTCTTTTGGTTGGGGGCGTCCTTAGGGATCATGGTGTGGGCACCAGAAAGGTTGGCACCAATGACCAGGAGCTGAGGCCATGTGGGTAGGCGGTGCCTTTGGACCCATCAGCCTGGCCCTGTTGAAATGGGTGGGTGGCATTTCCCCAGATTCTCTGTGATCCTAGCCATGGTGTGGGGCCCCAGGAGGCTGGCACAGGCACTACCTTCGAGAAGATAGTGAGTGTTGCTCTCTGGGCAGGTGAGTGGTCAGCAGGCCAAGGAGGAGGTGTCGCAGCTGGTGCGGGGTCTGGGTGCGGTGCTGGAGGAGAAGAGGGCGTCGCTGCTTCAGGCCGTAGAGGAATGCCAGCAGGAGCGGCTGGCCCGCCTCAGTGCCCAGCTCCAAGAGCACCGGAGCCTCTTAGATGGCTCAGGCCTGGTGGGCTACGCCCAGGAGGTCCTTAAGGAAACGGACCAGCCTTGCTTTGTGCAAGCAGCCAAGCAGTTACATAACAGGTACTTCAGGGCACAGCTCAGGGACACGGGCTCCGGGGGGGGAGAGGGGCGTGCGTGCAGGGGCATCATGGTGTAGTCGGTGTCCAAGACAGTGTCTCTAGTCCCGGCCGATGGAGAGCTGGGCCCGAGGATTTTCCCACCAGGCCACACCAATCCCCAGCTGGCGTGAGGGGACGAGGAGGAGACCCAAAGCTGATGCCAGGGCTCAGGGGCAGGCAGGCAGAATCAAGGAGGAGGGTGGCGGCCCAGATGGCAGTGCCTGACCCTTGGGTGCCCCCATCCCAGGATCGCTCGGGCGACAGAGGCCCTCCAGATGTTCCGGCCAGCTGCCAACTCCTCCTTCCGCCATTGCCAGCTGGACGTGGGGCGAGAGATGAAGCTGCTGACAGAGCTGAACTTCCTTCGAGGTAAGGAGACGGCCAGGCCCCAGGTCCTCTTAGAGCCTTCCTCCCTCCTCCCCCAGCAGCGGGCCCGGGGGGCAGTGCCCACCGGGGACCTCCCAGCCTACTGGGCTGTGGCCACCGCGGACTCTGCTCCGGAGCACCCCAGGCAAGTCAGCGCCCGGGCCCCTGCTCCACCCCCAGCCCCCCTGCAGCTTGGCCACCACTCTTTGCTTCCTCCCGTCCTGCCTTAACCAGACTCTCGTCCTCCCCAGTCCTCCCCAGTCCTCCCAGCCCAGTAGCCTGTCTCTCTCCGCCTTCCTCAGGTGTTTGTCCAGTCCTTGCCCTTTGTCCTTATGACCCTCGTTCTGGACTTTTCTCCTCTTCTCCCTGACCTTTGTCTCCTGCCATCAAGCTTTTGCTCGCCCTGTTGTCCCCCCTTCTGTCTTGCTGACCCTTACCCCCTCCCCCCCGCTCTGTCCCCTCCCTCCGTTCAGTGCCCTCTTGCCTGGGTCCCAGTGGCCTTGCCCTGGGGCTGCTCTTTATTCCTAGAATAAAAGGGTCATAGAAGGAAGGGGCTCCCTCGGGTCTGAGGCCCCCATTTGACAGGGAGGAAACTGAGGCCCAGGAGGGGGAGGTAACTGGCCAAGGCCAGTGCGCAGACAAGACCAGCACCCAGGCCTCCTCCTGCCCAGCGAGCACCTGCCTCTCTCCTCCCTTGGGCTCTGCCTGCCCATCCTGCCCAGGGCCCAGCTGGGTCTCTCCCCGGGTCCCTCTCACCCACACTCACCCCCCGGCTCCCGCTGCTTTCCCTCTTCCTGCCTCCCTCCATGCCCGGCCAGCGGCCAGCCCGACTGACCGACTGTCTCTCCCGACAGTGCCCGAGGCTCCGGTCATCGACACGCAGCGCACCTTCGCCTACGACCAGATCTTCCTGTGCTGGCGGCTGCCCCCGCACTCGCCGCCTGCCTGGCACTACACCATTGAGTTCCGGCGCACAGACGTGCCTGCCCAGCCGGGGCCCGCCCACTGGCAGCGGCGGGAGGAGGTGAGGGGCACCAGTGCCCTGCTGGAGAACCCCGACACCGGCTCCGTGTACGTGCTGCGTGTCCGCGGCTGCAACAAGGCAGGCTATGGCGAGTACAGTGAGGACGTGCACCTGCACACACCCCCAGCGCCCGGTGAGTGGGCCGAGGGGTGGGCACAGGGTGGCACAGACAGGGCACAGGGCATGCTGAGGCCCAGGCACTGACGGGTGGGGCCGGGTGAGCGCTGGAGAGACGGGATGATGCTGTGGGTCACACTCACTCACTCTGGAGCTAGGTTTGCTGCATTCGCATCCCAGCTCTGCCTCTTGCCAACCGTATGGCTTTGGGCAAGTTTTTCAGCCTCTCTGAACTTCAAGTTCCTCTTCTGCAGGGGTGTGTACAATACTCACCTCAGAGGCTGTTGTGAGAATTAATTGAATTGATTCATGTAAAGTCTTACCAGAGCTTCCACCTCAAGTAAGGGCTCAATAAGTGACAGTACAATGACTGTGCAGAACATAGTGTGGACCCTGGGACACAGGCATTATCACCCCGCCACCCAGGGGCAGACGAGGGAGGGGCTGGATGTCAGGACCAGATGTGAGCACCAGAGTGTGGGCTGGGAGGTGCAGGCAGATGTGGGGATGTCGCCACATGGGACAGAACAGCGGGGGGAAGGGGTGAGAGGAAGCCCTGTGAGTCAGCGGGTCTGGGGACCGGTTTCCGTGTCCACGAGTCATCACTTGACTCCTCGGGGGGCCCATGCCCACTTGGAGTCTCCACTTCTTTCTTCCCTGTGCCCCTCGTTCCAGTTCCCCGGGCCCTGTTCCCAACGCCCTGGGCAGCGCGTTCCATGTTCTGAAACCCCCCAGTGTCCCGTCCTCACGCCTCAGTCCCCAGTTTGTCCCTGAGGTCCTTCCTTTTGTCTCAACCTCCCCCACTCCAGTCCTTCACTTCTTCCTCGACGGCCGCTGGGGCGCCAGCCGGGAGAGGCTGGCCATCAGCAAGGACCAGCGGGCGGTGCGCAGTGTGCCCGGGCTGCCCCTGCTCCTGGCGGCCGAGCGGCTGCTCACCGGCTGCCACCTGAGTGTGGACGTGGTCCTGGGCGACGTGGCCGTGACCCAGGGCCGCAGCTACTGGGCCTGCGCCGTCGACCCAGCCTCCTACCTGGTCAAGGTGGGCGTCGGGCTGGAGAGCAAACTTCAGGAGAGCTTCCAGGGCGCCGCCGATGTGATCAGCCCCAGGTCAGGCCGCTCTGGCCGGGAGCGGGTGGGGGACCCGGGTGGGGAGCTGGGGGCAGGATGGGGTGGCAAGAGGAGCACAGACTTGCTGGGGTGGAGCTGGGGGAGACTGAGGAGGAAGCAGTAAAGTCATGGAAGCCCGGACCGGGGCCTGTGGCCAGCGGAAGTGAGGGAGGGGTCGGGGGAGGGGCTCTGAGGACGGTTTGGAGTGTGTGGCTGGGGAAGGAGAGGAAAGAAGAGGGAACCACCTCCACTTCCCTTCCATCTGCCACTCAAGATAGACCGTCTCTCCACGCCTCCACGCCATTCTCCACATGTCCCATTTCCAACCTCCTCTCCCCACAAGGCCTTCTCCCCCATACCTTTTCACCCATATCTTCTAACGCCCTAAAGTTCCCCCCTTAAACTCTCCGTCTCCACCCTCATCCCTAACACCCGACTTAACACCCTCCTGCGCCTGCCTTCCTCCCAGCTCTCCGCCCAAGAGCAGCTCGGCCCCCAATCCCAACCCTTCTGAGAGCTCTCATCCGGGGCACCGGTCTCCCCTCATCTCTCCCAGCACCGAACCTTCCCACATCCTTTCTCTGCGCCTCCTTCACCAGGACTTAGCTCCTCATTCTCCCAGTTTCTCCAACCTCAGAACCCTCTCCCCGCAGGAGTCCCCAAACCACACTTCTCACACCTTCCTCCTGATACGGCTGCACGGCTGCAGGGCGCTGTAGCAGCACCTTGCCTGTCCTTCGCCCGATACCTCTCGTGCCAGCGTGACTTCCTTTCAGTGCCCTTTTCTGCCAAACCACACCCCGACCCTACATTCTAATCTAACCCGTCTCTTCGACATGGTTTCTCCTCCATATCCCAAATCCACCCTTCCAACCAGCATTCCGCACTTCCCAGGCCTCAGCCCTCTGGGACCCATCCCCCACCCTCTTCCTCCACCCCAACACCCTGCTACCCTGTGCCCTCTCCTGCAGGTACGACCCGGACAGCGGACACGACAGCGGGGCCGAGGATGCCACGGTGGAGGCGTCGCCACCCTTCGCTTTCCTCACCATCGGCATGGGCAAGATCCTGCTGGGGGCCGGGGCCAGCGCCAGCGCAGGGCTGACTGGGAGGGA